CGGCATTAGCTGGGCGCTGCCATCTTTTTTTGATGAAAAAGTGCTTCTGGTGACCTCACCGGAAGCACTTTTTCATCAAAAAAAGATGGCGGCGCCAGCGCTTCCGGTGAGCTTTTCCAGGTAGAAATGGTTTTCTACCCGGAAAAGCTCACCGGAAGCGCTGGCGCGCGCCATCTTTTTTTGATGAAAAAGTGCTTCCGGTGAGCTTTCTACCTGGAAAAGCTCACCGGAAGCACTTTTTCATCAAAAAAAGATGGCGGCGCCCAGCAAACCAGTGGCCCGGTAGGACTTGTTCCACGGACCGGTACCGGTCCGCGGCCCGGTGGTTGGGGACCCCTGCTTTATAGTGCTTTACAGCCCTCTCTAAGTGGTTTTGCAGAGTCAGCATATTTTCTCCCCACAATCTAGGTCCTCATTTTACCCACCTCAGAAGGATGGAAGGCTGAGTCCACCTTGAGCCTGGTGGGATTTAAACTGCCAAATTGCAGGCAGCAAGCAGTCAGCAGAAGTAGCCTGCAGCACTGCACTCTAACCACTGCGCCACCTAGGCTCCTCAAGTTATGACTACAATTGAGCTCAAATTATTTGTTGCTAAGTGAAACATCTGTTAAGTCAATTTTGTCCCATTTTATGACCTTTCTTGCCACAGTTGTTAAGTGAATCACTGTAGCTGTCAAGTTAGTAACATGGTTGTTAAGTGAATCCATTGACTTTGCTTGTAATCAAGTCACGAGAGGATCACATGACCCTGGGACACTGCAAATGTCATCAATATGAGTCAATTGCCAAACATCCAAATTTTGATCATGTGACTGTGGGGATGCTGCAACAGTCCTAAGTGAAAAATGGTCATAAGTCACCTTTTTTCAGTGCCATTGTAGCTTTGAACATTCACTAAATGAACTGTTGTAAGTCAAGGACTACCTGTAATTTAATTTTTTATTTTACTTATTTGTGTCCTGTCTTTTTATTTTTACAAATTACTCAAGGCAGCAAATGCTCATGCCTATTTTCCCCATGACAACAACCCTGTGAGGTCTGTTGGGCTGAGAGAGAATGACTGGCCCAAAATCACCTAGCTGGCTTTCATACCTAAAGTGGGACTAGAACCCACAATCTCCTGGCCCTAAGTCACCCAGATGGCTTTCATGCTTAAGGCGGGACTAGAATTCAGAGTCTCTTGGTGATTGGCCCAAGTCTCCGCGCTGGCTTTTGCGCCTAAGATTAAGACTTGAACGCACATTCTCCTCCTTTATGACCTTGTGCCTTAACCACTCTAGCAAACTGGCTCTCTTTTTAATTCCTAGAGAAGAAGTTTTAATTTAAACCAGCGTTTCCCAACCGTGGCAAGTTTAAGATGCATGGACATCCCTTTTCAAAAGCTTCCTTACGGAAGAGCAGACCGTAACATTTTCAAAGGTAAGCAAAGCCTTCCAATGCTGTGAGGCAACCATGGCTAAGAGAAGGCAGCAAGGTCATCCCGTGGACTTTCTGGTCCTGCTGGGCTTAGATTTCTGTAGTTCCACCCTCCCAGGAGGAAATCCTCTGTTGATTGAAATGAGGTCCAATAGCAGAAATTCCTGGTGGGCTTTAGCCTCGTCTTCCTCCTCCTCCCTCAATTAGGGGTCAGGCCATGAGCAACGAGCATGTGAAAGGAATGGCACATATGCATTCCCCCTGTATGGCAAGGATACAGGTTATCTGAGGAACCCTCTTACCCAGAGGTGGGCTTCCAAAAATGTAGCAGCTGGTTCTCTGCCCGGTGGCTGGGTGGCCGTGGCCATGGTGGCCGTGACCTAGTCGGCCTCCACCATGGCAGATGGGGGGGGGGGGGGGAACGTTTTCACCTCCCCGGGCTCTGGAGGCTTTCCTTGTGCCTCCGGGAGGGCCAAAACAGCCTCCTCAGGTTCTGGAAGCCCCCTGGAGGCCGGAAAAGGGCGCGTTTCTGGCCTTTCGGAGCCTCCGGGAGGCCCATTTCCCCCCTCCCTGGGCTCCAGAGGCTCTCTGGAGGCTGGAAACAGGCCCGTTTCTGGCCTTCCCGTTTTTCACCCTCCCTGAGCCTCCATGTGAGCCCTGCAGTTACCTGGAATCCAAAACGGGCCACGTGGAGACTCCTGGGAGGGGTAGGCGGGCCCAGCCAGTCATTGCAACTACTGGTTCGGTGAACCAGATGTAAAATTAACATCTGGTTCGCTCGAACCGGTGCAAACTGGTAGCAGTCCACCCCTGGTCTTATCCCAATGGGAGTGGCCTGCCCCACCTGTACGGGCAGAGGAGGCAGGCTACGGACCCCATCGGTCAAGGAATTGTAGCTGGCAGGGTCTAGGAGAAGAACCTTCTCTGCCGTGGCTCCTGCCGCCCTCTGTAACATCTTGCCTCCCGGGGTGAGGTCTACTCCCACCCTCCTGGCTTTCTTTAAAAGCCTGAAGACCTGGCCTTGACAGTTCGCTTGGACCCGTGGGGGAGTATCACACTGGAAGTAGTTGGTGGGCCAATGGAAGATCTCACTCCCCCGCGCATCTTGCCTCCTTCCCCAGGGGTGGGATTTAAATTTTTTTAACAACCGGTTCTGTGGGCATGGCTTAGTTGGTGGGCATGGCTTGGTGGTCATGTGACTGGCTGGGCATGGCCAACTCAACATCGCTCACATCGAAGCACGCATCTCCTCGCCTGGCCTCTCATGATTGTGGGGACGCTGCAACAGTCGTAAGTGTGAAAAATGGTCCTAAGTCTCTTTTTTCAGTGCCATTGTAACTTTGAATGGTCATTCCACACGAGCAAAGTACCAGCAAAGGACCTCCAGAGACGTTCCAGAGACAGGAACTCTAGTCCTGCCAATGTATAAGGGTTAAAAGAGAGGCAGTTTCTGTAAGCAACACCAGAATGTTTCCTTCCTGCCTTCCTTACAGGATTAGGCCAGTAATTTCTTCTAACAACCGGTTATCCGAACTGCTTAGAACGTTAACAACCAGTTCTAGCAAATAGGTGCGAACCTGTAAAATCCCACCCATGCTCCTTCCGCCCCATCTTTGATTACAATTTGTTATTTGTACTGTTATTAGTAACATTTCTTTCTCGTTGTTTTATTGTTTTTAACGTTATAGAGTCACCTGTAGCAAGATGGGTGGCAAATAAATATAAATTCATTCATTCACATCATGTGAAAGAGCTATATATTCCATTTTCAGTAAAAGTCCCGTCCCAGTCCCAGCAGAAAGTACCTTTACATATGTCCCACGGGGTTGTGCCCATCTCCTAATCCTGCATGAGATGCTGAAAGTGCCATCTGGGGATCACCCACCACGCCAGACACTTTCTCCTCTTCACGACGTTTCAAGCAAGCTGCTTTAGGGTTCAGATTGCGTTCTGGGAGAAAGAGAAAAAAACAAACACGCGCCATGGGAAGGAGGAGAAAACCTAGATGGGGGTAAAATATCTTGCAATGACCACAGTCTTTCTGCTGTCCTCCCCAAGAAGCATGAGAGTAGAAAAACAGAGGCTGAATATACATGCTGCTCAAGTGAGAGAAAGTATCCCAGCAAGGGAAACAGCAGGGTTTGTGGGAGCTGCAAGTAAGGCTGCCACTATTAGATTTGGGCTGCTATCAAGGCAGGTGGCCACTAGAGGGCAGCAAAGAGAAACCAGACAATTCTCACGCTTTGCTGCCACCTAGTGATCAGCCAGACAGTAAGCAGGCAACAGTGCTCTGGATAGCAAGTTGGACCGGATATGCTTAAGACGCTGCAATACTCCCACCTCTGAAAAGTCACGGGCTGTTTTAGCCTTCATTTTAGACGCAGAATGATCTTCAATCCTTTGAGGATCATTTCCGCAGTGGTCCACATGCAGCCGAAAGGGCAGTAAAGCAAAGCAAAACCTAAGAAGACGTTGTAATCAAAACCGCTCCGCTTAGCGCCCCGAGCAAAGGATGGAAGGGACAGGCATAGAAGAAGACACTCATGCGAAGAAGGGCATGTGGGGGGACATCCCGGAAAGAGACAGCCTCCCACCCATGCAAGAGAATGACCTCAGGGTGGTGGGGCACCCCTAGCGCCGTACCTCGTACTTGCTGTTCCAAGCCTAGAATGACTTGTACTGCTTGCTGAAGGATGATGAGTTTGGTCTGTGCTTTGTCTGTTTTTAAGTGCATCTGGCACATGCGTCCCAGCTCTTTAAAGGCCTCGTTAATGTCCCGTACGCGCACCCTCTCCCTTGCATTATTGGCCATCCGCCTCTCCCGGTCCCTCAGATCTTTGTCCTCCAGGGATAGCGCCTCATCCGTACTGCTGGGTTCACACAGCACCACAGGGGTTAGTCAGGGAGCAAAATGTGACTTGGGAATTGGGGTGGGGGGGAGAAGGTGGGGGACAGTGCCAAGGTGTGGTGGAAAAATGTCCACAGGAGGCCCCTACAAGCCAAGACGGGCCAGGCCAATTGGTCGCAGGGAAACCCTTGAATTGCACCATAGAGATAAGAGGCTGCCAAGGACTCTGGGGCAGGATTAAGCTTCCTGTGCCCTTTATTTCCTAGACGGTCTATTTAAAGAAGCAGAAGCATTTGACATGAAATCAATTCCTTCCTTCATCAGACGACACCAGTAATGCTTGATGCTAAAGGGAGGACCCTCCTTTGCAAGTCGAGAGAATCCTGGTTTGCAAACAGCAAAGCAATCAATAATGCAAAAGCGGGAACTTCGTTTCCTCCGCCCCCCCCCCCCCAAAGATTGGCTGAACCATAGATTCTCCACTGCTATAATAAAGATTTAAGCCTTAAATAGTAGGAATCTGTATTGTCCATGCATTTGTTTTTATTTTCCCTTAGGGAATTAAAAATCAGACTTGCAATGCCTTTCTCTCTGCGTTTTAGAAAGGAATTGGGGGGGGGGGGGGAATCCAAGTTAAGCATTAAAAATAATGGGCTGTAAAACCTGGAGCCCCCAAACCATTTTATGGCTTCTGGAGCCCCCTCAGATTGTGCTTTGTACAGCTGCATATTTAAGCACAAAATGAGTATAGGATTTGTAAACCCCCCCCATCACCAAAAATAAAACAAGTGGTCTGTGATGCCACTTGACCACCAGCCATGAGCCCTCAAAGGCAAAAAAGAAATTTTTTTTCCAAAAAACGGTGCACAAAGGTTGCCTAGCCCGTCCAAAATGTCCTCAGGAAATTGATCCTTTCACAGGTAGTCCTTGACTTATGACTGATCAAAGTTAACAACCAACCCGAAAAAAGGGGACTTACGACCTAAATTTGACATTCCAACAGTCAGGCCTCCTCTATGGTCACAGGACCAAATTTGGGGTGCTCGGCACCATGGCCACATATATAGCCATTTGCAGGGTCCTGTGGTCACATGACTACATTTTATGATGATCCCCCCCTCCCCCCATGGCTACTTACGACTGGTTTTCAGGGAAACCTTGCCCATAGCCAGCCACTGGCTTGCTTAACAATTGAATCAACCAATAAAGTCATAAATTCAGGCTGGTCATGTGATCAATCCATTTTATAACCATTTATGCGTCAGATGCCAGGATAAGAGTTCAAAAGCACTACAAGTTTATTCCGTTCAACCTCTGTGCAATAATCTGTTCTATTAACGGACAAGGCAAACTGGCACCAAATAAGAGTCAATGGACTTCAAGGAGGGCTGGACATAGGTCTCTTTCGGAGGGGTAGTAACTCCAAACTGATGATGTGCTTGACCACACCCTTGGGCTGAGTGTGGTCATCTCCTAACCCATGACCGTTAACAGGCAAGCTGTTCAACTTTTACTGAGCTGCTCTAACCGGTGGGAAGGCTCAGAGAGAAACATCTGGTCCGTGTTCTTCAAAATGCTCTTCATTAGGTCAAGATTCTCCAGCACTGTTGCCTAATGTGTGCTTGAACTCTCTTCTGAAATATGAACCCTATCATTATAAACTTAAAACTTCGTCGATTTGAGTGCCTTCAGTGATTCCTGGTTTCTTCAGTTAATGGGGAAAACGTTGCGCTGACATGGACGTAAAAGCAGAATGAGAAAGGAAGTGTCAGGCAGGAAAGACCAGGATCACGGGTGACGTTTTAATTTAAAGTGATTCATTGCTCATGGAATCGAACTAACAGTTTGGCACTATTTTGGTGCCAGGTAAGGGTTGACGTAATTCAAGAGCAGTTAGACTTAACCCATTTGTGGCTACTTAGAGACTCTAGGCTGAGTCCACTTTTCATTTTCGATTTCATTGAGGCAGTGGTGGGATTCAAAATTTTTTACTACGGTTCTGTGGGCTTGGCTTGGTGGGCGTGGCTTGGTGGGCGGGACAGGGGAAAGATACAATAAATCTCCATTCCCACCCCACTCCTGGGGGAAGGTTACCACCAGTTCTCCGAACTACTGAAAATTTCCGCTACCGGTTCTCCAGAACTGGTCAGAACCTGCTGAATTCCACCTCTGCGTTGAGGGTTGCATCAGGGTTGCTTTTGACCTTGGGGGGCTGGGGTGGGCATGGCCAAGCTCGACATCACTCGCGTCAGGGGAGCCTGTAGTGGCCTGAGCGGTCTGCCAGCGAAAACAGGTTCCCGATCTCTGTTTTGGCTGCAACGGCCTCCTGCAACCCTCCGCTAGTGAAAACGGAGCTTGGGAGTACCACCCGGGGCCCGTGCAACCTCCATTTTTGGCTGCAATGACCTTCTGCAATCCTCTGCCAGTGAAAATGGAGGCCGAGAAGGCCGCAACACAGCCCTCCCGAACTCCATGTTCCCTGGCAGAGGCACCACGGGCCCGGTCAATTGCTGTTTGCGGGGCGGCCCCGCGGGCCAGATCTAAGCACCCTGTGGGCTGAATCCGGCCTCCGGGCCTTGAGTTTGAAACCCCTGTCTTAAAGGAAGAGGGTCACCTGAGACTAGAAAATAGAAGCCGCAACTTGCAACTGGCTTTGTAAAGCGGCTTCCTAACACTTGCCACGAATAGAGTCTATGCAGCAGAAATAAGCAAAGCCACTCGTTAAATGAGTCACAACCAATTTTATGACCGTTCCAGCTCATTAAATGAATGACACAGTTGTTCAGCGAACTCAAGTTCCCCTACTGATTTTGCTTGTCAGAAGCTCCCTGTAGAGGTTGCAAATGGTGACCACATGACCCTAGGATGCTGTTTGTAAATACATATGGGTTGCCAAGGGCCCAAATTTAGATCACATGACACACTGATGGTCATAAGGGGGAGAACTGGTCATAAGTCACTTTTTTCAGCACCGTCATAACTTTGAACAGTTGCTAAAATAATGGTTTTATAATACGAGGACTACCTGTACCAGATCTGGAAAGATCTCCATCTAAAAAATAACAGCTTGCTTCCTCTGAAACGTTGCCCATCTTCCCCCAAGCCACCCAAATCTGGCAAAATTCTGTAGTTTCCAGGTATAATCAAACACAGCATCAAAATTGATCCCGCCTAAAATAATGATGAGCATTGGCAGCACCTTAAACTCTTGGCAGATTGAACCTAGGAAATCCGTTTCCTTCCCATCATGCCCCATCACGTCCTATTTTTATACAGGGACAGCCTTTTTCCCCAGAGCAAAAAAAGAAAAAATTCCTGAAAAAAAGGTAGATATAATTGCCTTCTTTTGACAAGAGCTAGTGGATGTCTCCAATGAATTAAGAACACGAGGCAACCATTTTCCACTGGAAATGACTTCCTATTGAAATAGTGTGTGAAGGCACAATTCTAGGGACTTCCGTAGCTTTGAATTAAGCAACCCTTTTCTTAGCCAACTAACAAGACGAAGTAAGATGTATTTTTGTGTGCTCTTCATTTCCAACCTCCTATACCAGGGTTTCTTAAACTTAGCCACTTTAAGAGGTCAGTACCAACTTCAATTAAAGAGTTGAAGTCCAGACCTCTTAAAATGGCCAAGGTTGAGAAACACTGTCCTAAACTACAAAGGGCAAGCCAGAATAATATCCAATCCCAGTAATTGTTACCTCTTGATTTTTCATCTCCAGAACCATCCAAGACAGACTTCTCAATTACTTTATCTTTTCAGTGATTCACTTACTACTTGGGAAACTTCATTCTGAAAACGACTCTTTTGTGTAAGCTTCACTGTCAAAGGTCAGTCTGGATTCTCCTACGATCTTGTCTGGGAATTCAGCCTAAATCCAAAATGAATTTTTGATCTCATAGTTTTTAAAATGGTGGCTAAAAATGTTGGGCTCGCTTAAGCGCCATCTCTTTCTGGTATGTCTTCAAAATTCAAGCCAGGTATGGATTCACACAGTTTACTTATCTGAGCTACAGAATAAAAGCCATTGTCCCAGAATTAACACCTTACACACTGAAGTACAAGTTATCCAAGCAAAATCTAGCCACAACAAACTAAGCCAACAATAGACGTAACCAAATTTGAAATTAACCAAGTTGACTGTTATTTTTCCAATAATAACCATGGTTAAGTGGAAGCCAAGCTACTTTGCTACACCTGTGTGGGAATTCTAATACTGCTTAGAAGCAAGCCTCACTAAATGTACCAGGACATATTTCCAAGCCAAATTCACATTTTAAATTCATAATTATTTAAAGAATTGTAATATTCAGTGTAAAACTAAGCCTACATACCCACAACCAACAGGAACTGTAATAGCTAACTATGAATTAAAGAAATGTCCATTGAGTATTATAGCAAACAAAATTGAAGCTGTATCCAAACTCTTGGGGATGCATTTAGCCCATTTAGCTCAGTGGCTCCTGTCACAGAAGAAATCCAGTCCTTTCATGTGGTATAATAATCCTGTGCAAGCTTGCTCTTATCCCAAAACAAATTTAAACTTTAGCAGGGTATTGAAAATAGCTATCAGTTGTAGTGCTGCCCGATTAACACCAGCTAGATGTTCCACCGCATTCTGGCTTTTATAAAATAAAAGTAGCACACTCTCAAAAAGATAGCAACATTTCTTAAATAAATTCATAACTGGTGGGATTGAAAGGGGAGAAGAGAAAGCCCTATAGAAAATCCATCCAAGATACTATAAGAAGTAGAAGCTTGCATTTAGCGAGGGTCCCGCCGTTCTAACTTCAATCTTCACTGCATTTTTGCTGGAAAAAATGTTATGGGCTGCCTTTTCTAGGATGACAGATGTCAACTCTCAGAAATATGAAGCTCATCTGATGGAGTATGAATATGAAGCTCATCTCTTCTTAAGCTCTCTGATAAAAAATGTCCAAGGGATCAAAAATATCCATACAAGAGAATATTTGTAGTTCAGGGTTGAACTGCGGGGTCTTTGGTGTTCTCTGAGTTCAGTTGTTTTCTTGCTGACATTTGAAAATATTTACAGACCCCTCACATCCCGGACATAAACTGTTTCAACTTCTACCCTCAAAACAACGTTATAGAGCAGGGGTCTCCAACCTTGGCAACTTTAAGACTTGTGGACTTCAACTCCCAGAGTTCCTCAGCCAACAAAGCTTAAAGTCTTAAAGTTGCCAAGGTTGGAGACCCCTGTTATAGAGCACTAGACACAAGGACAGTTTTTCCCCGAACGCCATCACTCTGCTAAACAAATAATTCCCTCAACTCTGTCCAACTATTTACAAAGTCTTCACTACTATTACTGTTAATCTTGTAATCACTCCTTATCACCCATCGCCTCCTACTTGTGACTGTATGACTGTAACTTTGTCGCTTGTATCCTTACGATTTATATTGACTGTTTCTTAGTATGATTTAGTGATTATTATTAAGTGTTATACCTTATGATTCTGGACTCTTGACAAATGTATCTTTTCTTTTATGTACACTGAGAGCATTTGTGTGTCCAATCACGCTTGGCCAATAAAGAATTCTATTCTATTTCATTACCCAAGTAGGTAACATCATCAGTGCTAGGGAAGTGCTAGAACTGATGTTATCTAGTTGGTTAATGGAATATCTGCAAGAAAACAAGCCAGTTCAGAAAGAAACAAGGATCTCACAAAGATATCCAGTTGGAAAAAAAAATTTTTTTTTCAGGGGGATTAAATATAGGAATGCCAACTGCTCACCAGTCAAGGCAAAACTTTGCTCATCTTCAACCTCAGGTAAAATGCTATGTATTCTTTTGAAATCGAAAACCAAGAGCCTGAACTCCAGATGAGAGGACCATGCGCCAACTCTTCTACTCACAGATTGTTCTTTTCCTGTTCCCTGTGCCAACCCACCTCCCCACTCCTGGTTTCTCTCTCTCTCTCTCTCTCTCTCTCTCTCTGAGCAAGCAGCAAGTACAAGGTAGAGGGTGGGAACCACCGAGAGGTCACGGCTGGGGACTGTCTGTAGGAAAGCAGGTAAAAGGATTGGGGGAGAAGTGGAGAAGAACAAGAAAACATTGGACAAGGAAATCAAAGTTATACATGTTATGACAGGCAAATAAAAGGGAAATGAAAAGTGAGAGAGAGAGAAAAAGAGAGAGAGAAAAGCATAAATGAATTCCAGCATTGCAACATGACAGCAGAGTACAAAACAGGCTGTGGATCTGGATTGTAAATGCAGCCGCCTCTCTTGAGGAAAAGAGTCAAATCTGCCAAGGTAACCCCACGGGATGGGTTTCCAAAGAAAGGAAGGTTAGATGCTCACATGCACAGCCAAGCACTTGCAGCATTCCCAGAAGAAAAATTAGCACAAGTACATTTGGTTGGGAGTCCATCTTTCCTCTAGGGGAACCGCTGAGACCCATTTAAAATTTCCTTTCCCCTTCCTCCTTCCCAGGACGTTCTGCATCCTACAATCCTGACAGTCACCCTTGATTTCTACCTTTGCAGGGATGGTTTCTGAGGTTTAAATTGGGATCTGGGACCACGGTGGGATTGGAAGACTTGGGTTATAGACAGAAAATGACCTTTTTTTTTTTACAACCTCACACATTTCAATGTAGGTAAAATCCCAGCTCCTTTTGAGAATCTTTCACGGCTTCAAGTTGCGGGTCCCAGGTCTTAAAACTACCCGATCTTAAAACTAGAACAAGCTCGGACACCAATGTGTCTCCCAGGTGTATATTCTCTATTCTCCTTGTATACCTCCTTATCAAGGTATCACTCCTGGTCCAAATTCAGTCATTGCTGGTGAAGGGCAGAGAGAGAGAGACAGCCTAAAGAGCTACACCACAGACTATACCGCATGGTCTTGAGACTACTCTAGGCAGAGGGATTTACGGTAATATATTTTCCACAGGGAACTTTCCTCACAGGACGAGAAATGCTCCTACCAAGACAAGATCTCGCCTGGGGAAGCAGAGATAGTAACTTTGAACACACGGTAACCATTTCTTTTCAGCATTGAGGGTTTCCCAAACCCTAAATCTACACTTTACTACAGGTACTCCTTGACTTACGACCACAGTTGGGCCCAAAACTTGCTAACATTTGTTAAGTGAACTTTGCCCCGTTTTATGACTTTTCTCAGCACACTTGTTAAGGGGATGATGGCAGTTGTTAAGTGAATCTGACTTCCCCAATGACTTTGCTCGTCCGAAGGTCGCAAAAGGGGATTCCATGACCCCAGGGCCATCATAAATACACGCCCCCTGGCCAATCGGCTGGATTTTGATTGCGTGGCCATGGGGATAGGCTGCAACAGTTGTAAATGGGAAACATGGCCATACGGCGCTTTTTTCAGCGCCGTTGTAATGGTCGCTAAACGAATGCCTGTAAGTCGAGGACTACCTGCACTTAAAAGGCGTATACAAAAAAGTGTTCTAGGAGGCTGGGGCTGGAAAGGACTTTCCAATCGATAAGAAGGACAGGGTATATATGGTTTTTGCTGTGAACTCATCCTCAGTTTGTATGCATGAGGAACTTGACCTTTGCAGACCCTGCCCTTTCCCCATATTTAGCAACAAAGCGCTGAGGTTCCCGGTGGGCCGCCCTCTACAGCGCTAAGTAGCAGAGAAGGAAGGAGGGAGAGAGAAGCAGAGTCCCCGTACAGGCACGAGGCTGGCTGGCATGCAGAAAGTGCAGCTTCTTTCTTTATTCCAAATGCAACACAGGAATTACAGGGGATGCAAAACAAAACGAAAACAAAACCAAACCAAAATGGAACAGAGAAGTAAAACACAAAACCAAACTTGAGGCATCATCATTAAAAATAAATGAATAAAAGGATGCAGGAAAAACGTCAGCAGGGTGGAGAGTGTCGGGCAGGCCTGCCCAGCACGGTGGGCCGGGGCAAGGTTGAAAGGATCAGACAGACAGCCCCATGCCGTTCCGAAACGTCACCACGTCGGAAGCCTCCACTGACCTCTAACTTGTTGTTCCAGATTCAGAATAACCGACACGGCCTGATGTAGGATTAGCAGTTTGGTCTGTGGTTTTTCGCTGTTAAGGTGTAGCTGGCACATGCGCCCAAGCTCTTTAAAGGCCTCGTTGATGTCGCGGACCCTCAGGCGCTCCCGAGCGTTATTGGCCACCCGCCTCTCTTTCTCGCGCTCGGCTTTTTGCTCTGGGGGAAGAAGGTCGTCCTCCTCATCCTCATCTTGACTGATAATTTGAAATAAGAATGAAACAAGGAGAAGGGGGACATTTTTCGTGTGTGCACACCTCGGCACCGGAATATGTTCACAAAAAAAAAAAAAGGAAAACTGTAATACATATAATACACACATGTGCGCACCCCTACATGCACACACAACAGAAACAAACACATCACAATGGTTTTGTTTTTAAAAAAAAGATAATTGAAAAGGAAAGGTAGACATTAATCTATTTTGCCATCTTTGGTCAATATTTACTACATGCATGTCTGACAGGCCTCCCCCCTCTGTCCCCCAATGTTCTGTTGCTAAATAAAATTTGGGTCGACTGTCCTAGAGCACATTTTACATTTGTGTGAGATAAAAGAGAGGGTCAAGGAAGTAAGCCATGCCTTTCTCCTCTACTTAGGACCTTCACAGGAAAATGGCAGCCGGGGGGGGTGGGGGGAAACAAAGGATCAGGGGAGATAAATAGAACCAAAAGTTACTAAGTCAAATTGTCTCGGGAAGTCGGTCCTGCTTCTCCACAATTTCTCAGGGAAAAGTAGCAAAATTTGAAAATATGCCTGCACCTAATAAAACTAAAATTGATTTGAAAAAATAAAAAAATAAACAATGCCAATATCTTTTCTGTTCTTTCAATTAGCCAGCCAAAGGAATTGCCTGAACTGGAAAATTCCTCCTCTGTGAGGGAGATGGATGGCTTCTTAATTTGATAAATAAAATTGGGGGGGGGGGGGGGGGGGGGGGGGGAATAGAGGTTCTTCCTGATCCGTTTCTCCAACAAGACAACCTGCCCCAATTTTGCGAAGACATTGGTCCATTAATAATCATAGTAGGTTCCTACAGGTCTGAAAACTGTGGGTGGATTCTCCCCAAGACTGAAAGATTTTGAAGGAGGCTGTTTTGCCTTAAGCTTTCTTTACAGGGTCAGGATTTTGTCCTGCCCGGCTAGCCTCCAAAGGGAACAGAGAAAGGTTGAGACCTGTTCAGTGAGCACCTTGTTCTGGTTCGAGATGGCTTCAGTTCCTTTTTCTCCTCTTCCGAATTGTCAGCCACTGACGTGTTTTCGTCATCCTCCTTGTCCTCCCGCTTAATCTCGCTGGTGCCGGAGGAGACGCTGGCCCTTCCCAGGCCCCCAGTCAAGCCTGCAATGGGACCAAACCAAGTAGAACGTTGACCCAAGGGTAAAATGATAAATGTAGGAAAATCACCCTTTCTCCTCACCTGAAACCTGAGGAAAGTTGAAGTCTTCAGCATAATTGTACTTAAAGCATCAGACTGGAAACCAGAAAGTTGTGAGGTCTACTGGGTGATTTTGGGCCAATCCCCAGGAGACTGTGAGTTCTAGTCCTGCCTTAGGCATGAAAGCCGGCTGGGTGACTTTGGGTCAATCCCCAGGGGACTGTGAGTTCTAGTCCTGCCTCAGGCATGAAAGCCGGCTGGGTGACTTTGGACTCTCAGCCTAAATCACCTCACACGGTTGTTGTGGGGAAAATAGGAGGAAGAAATATTCCACATGTCCACTGCCTTGAGTTATTTACAAAAATAATAAAGGCAGGATAAAAAAATATATAAAAATAAAACATCTTAAATAAATAATTAATGAAATATTTTTTTTGATTCCGAGTTGCAGATTCACATGAAGAGAGAGATCCCAAAAGTTTTTTGTTTTGGTCAAAAGGTAACTAGGCATCCTTAGTTTTTTCTTGAAAAGGCATTTTGCTTTTCATTCAAGAAAAAAACACCCTTTGGGACAAAACCATGACCTGGATGACTGAGAATCTCCACAGACACGAAGAGGAAGCATTAGTTTCATAGAGAGGAGTCCGTGGTTCCTTTCCTTGAATTATAAAAGGAAAATATCGACTGTAATTTTGCCAAGAGGTTAATATGCCAGTTGTCCGGCACCCTACCTTGCACCAGCCAAGAGACTGGGGTTTGAGAGTCAGCATTCGAATCGTGCAACTCAGCCTTACCGCTAAAGGCATCTGAAGACTGTCCTCTGCTGAGGTCAGGAAGCGAGCTGGTCTGGGCAGGGAGAGCAACATGGTTGTGGAGAAGACCAGGATTGTTAGAGAGGCTGTCTTCGGGGTGACCTCCCCCGACCTGCCAAAAAGAACAGCAACAAGGTCCAGAGAGGCCAGTAGGTCAGTGATGCTGAACTGGGGAATTCTGGGAGTTGAAGTCCACACATTTCAAAGTCCCCAAGGTTGAGAAACGCTGCCTTAGGCAGTGCTAGTGAGCAAATGTAGAAATTTGAAAAGGGGCGTATCAGACCCTCTTTTAAAGCCTCTGTTTTTATTAGTAAACTACAGCAAAAGCCTCAGGAGCAAATGGTTTAATAATATGCCAGGACTGTTTTAAGTACTGGTTGTTAATCAAACAATACAATTCAGGTTTGAACATCAGCTTCAACCATAACAACACAAGAGCACACAATAGATACAAACTCAAAGTAAACCGCACCAAACTTGATTGCAGGAAATACGACTTCAGCAATAGAGTGGTCAATGTCTGGAATACTCTACCCGACTCTGTAGTCTCTTCCCCAAACCCCAAAAACTTTAACCTTAGACTGTCTACTATTGACCTCACCCCTTTCCTAAGAGGTCTGTAGGGGGCGTGCATAAGCGCACCATCGTGCCTACCGTCCCTGTCCTATTGTTTCTCTTATTCTTTTATTTTTCTTATATGTACCCATTTCATGTATTCACAACTATGTATACACTTATACTTATTATCTTGTAAACAATTGGCAAATCAAATAAATAAAATAAATAAATAAATAATGCTAAGCCATTAGTCCAGTATGGCCTTAGATGGGGAGTCTCTGTGGATTTTATCTGCAGAATATAGACGGCAGTGTTCATCTCCTTTTTAAGTCCAAAGATATTTCCATAGTCATGTGGCCAGCATGATGTCAGGTAGCGCTGTTATCTTCCCACTGAAGTGGTACCTATTTATCTACTCACACTTGCATGCTTTCAAACTGCTAGGTTGGCAGGAGCTGGGGCAAGGACGGGGAGCTCACCCTGTCGTGTGGTGCTTGTGGCTCGAACAAGGGCTGCTGGCTTTCCAGCTGACAAGCCCAGCGTCTTAACTGTTGAACCATCGTGCTACCCAGTACACCTATATTATGACTTCATCTGATGTGTGAATAAGGTCTATAGTTAGGAATTTTAGATCTAGCAGCCCTCTCGTAGAATCCTGAAGTTGCATTCTGACTATCAAATGCTATGTCAAAAGCAAGTGCCTGAAGGGCATGGTTAGGAAAGGGCAAGACGATCGCCACAGCGATGTTTACTGGAGCTTTCAACTGATTTTGGGTGAGTCATGAAGCATGTAAAAACAGGCATGTAAAAATAAAAAGAAATCAAGTTCTACAATATTGTGGGGTCCTTGGTGCTCTCTGAGCTTGGTGGTTTTCTGGCAGTTTTGGTTTCATTACCAAATTAGTAACAACGTAAGTGCAAAGCTGATGAGATTGGGGGGGAAAAAACCATTTTACCCAGGCTTTATATTAGACAGTTTCCTACAACCAAGCCCTGAATAACCACCTTGATGTTTTGTAGGATGCAGAAAAAAAATCCCACTCAGCTGTGAAACTCTAAAGCTGTCAGAGAAAAGTTCGATAGAATTATGTTGCTGAATGTAAGGACCATTGGAAACTTCCTTTTGATACCCTGACTTCTGTCCCTCAGCCATGACCTTATATCATAGAATATTCTCTTTTCTGCCTCGACTGGTACAACAAAGTCCCAGCCCACAATGAAAGGGTGTTAAGTTTGGTAGGACTTTTGAACATGAAGAATGTTACACAGCCTGCAAGAAGCATTTTTAACCTGGACAGCCCAGTGGAGGACACAAGAGATTAATCTCAATCTCCAGTATCTACAAAGAAAAGGTGGTAAGAAAACTTTTGATTGCTAGTTATACTAAACTAGATTAGTCATGGAGAACTCTCCTGATGCTTTGGACCAACCAAGTCCCACCAACCTGCCACAAAGAAGACGGGGGTCAAGCTATTCTCCAAAGCTCCTGAGGGCAGAATAAGAAGCAATGGGTGGAAACTAATCAAGGAGAGAAGCAACTTGGAACCAAGGGGAAATTTCCTGACAGTTAGAACAATTGATCAGTGGAACAACTTGCCACCAGAAGCTGTGAATGCTCCAATACTGGAAGTTTTTTAAAAATATGTTGGAAACCATTTGTCTGAAGTGGTGTAGGGTTTCCTGCCTAGGCAGGGGGATGGACTAGAAGACCTCCAAGGTCCCTTCCAACTCTGTTATTCTGTTCTGTTCTATTTCTATTATTTCTATTCCTATTCTATTTCTATTCTATTCCTATTCTATTCTATTCTATTCTCTAGCTGTATGTCTAAAGTCAATGGATTCTAGGAACTGTGGACCAAAATGCCTGGATCAGGTGGATTAATAGTCAAGTTATGCAAATAGGCTTCTTTAAAGAGCTTCTTGAAAGGAGAAGCCATAAAGTTTTAAACGATACAGCATGTCTGAAATACACCCCCCTCCCCCCCCCCCCCCCAATTCCTATCTTACCAAGTTCGTATGCCGACTAGCAATTGGCAAGACAGAGGCCGGGGAGAAAGACTGGCTAAGGCTGCCCACAGAAGTGCTGTGCGCAGAAGCGGATGCCAATAAGTCGTGAATGTCCCTGTGGTTGGTCTGGCCCACTGCGTGGCTCCTCAGCACATGGATGGCTTCGTCCAAGTGGTCTTCCATTTTGTTTTGCTTGAAGGGCGGAAGAGAGGGAAAGACTGTGAAACAGGAGTCCACCACAGACCCTGCGGGGAGGTGGTGGAGTGCGGGCCAACAGTTGAGATTCAGGCACCAAACCAAGCATGAAGTTAAAAAGCAAACACAGACAACATTTGAAGATTGGGCACAAGGCTTTCTTTACATTCCTGATCAGGTAGGCCAATGATGGCTAACCATTTTTGGTCTCCCGTGCCAAAAATTGTGCGCACATTAGCATGCACGCACTTGCGTGCCAGCACCCAGAATGCAATGCGCCCACCTCCTGTGCATGCGCATGCAATCCCCCCACCCCCACCATTTCCTTACCTGCACTGTGCCTTACAGCTGATTTTTCGGCTGGTTTGAGGCCTTTTTTTGGCCTCCCAGAGGCTTGGAAAAAATCTCTGCAAGGCTTTTCAGGACGAATAATATGCCCGTTTTGTCACTTCCGGTATTACAGGAAGAAACGGGCCTATTTGTCCTGAAAAGCCTTGCAGAGGCTTTTTCCAAGCCTCTGGGAGGCTAAAAAAGGCCTGAAACCAGCAGAAAAACTAGCTGTGTGGCGTGCGCATGCGCAGTGAGGTAAGTTTACGCCTGAGCTCGTGTGCCGGCACAAATGGCTCTGCTTCGCCATCATGGAGGTAGGCCATTACTAGGCTGATTTTTCAGGCAGAAGAACCAAGGCTAAAGAGATGGCCGCTTTGGGGATATTATCAAGAATAGGCTGGTGGACAATCAAACTATGCTACTGCTAAGGTTGCTAGGTCCACTGTTATCTGCTAGAAATTTGTAGGTGATCCTTGAGTTACGAGCACAATTGGGAATGGAAAATTCATTGTTAAGCAACGAAGTTATTAAATGGTTAAATGATCATGACTTGTGACCTTTCTTGACAGCTTCTCCATTGACCTGTCAGCTGGGAAGGCTGCAAATGGCGATCACATGACCCTGGGATGCTCTAATCTTTGTAAAGGTGAGCTGGTTGCCAAGCACCCAAAGTCCGATGATGTGACCACAGAGAGGCTGCTTTTTCCAGTGCCATCATAACTTTGAATGACTGGTAAACGAATGGTTGTAAATCAAGGACTGCCTGTAATTATTTACTGCAAAAACCAATGGGAAGTATGAGGTTGAGGGATACTTACCAAAGTATGGAGGGTGCCTTCGTAGCTTGGAGATAAGGCACCCTGTCCACTTGCTCGGGGCCACTGCGAAGAACCTGAGTAGAGGACAGACAGTAGGGGACATTTCGCCCATTAGCAAATACATTTGATAGACAGACAGCAAAGACATCCTTTCTCTTCACAACTGCCAGGATGATAGAAGTAGCTCAGGGATGAACTGTGGAGTTTTTGGTGCTCTCAGAGCTGGGCTGTTTTTGCAGACATTTCATTACCCAGCTAAGCAACATCATCAGTGCATTGCAAGCAAACAACCAAACAAACTCTGGGAGCATTAATTACTCGACACTTCCAGGATACATCAAAAGCCAGGTGGAACTTCGGGAGTTCCATCAGGATCAATCGCTCTTTACAGCCAGTTTTATTCAAACTCAGGAACTTTGAAATATGTGTGGACTTTCAACTCCCAGAATTCCTCAACCAGCATGTTGGCTGGGTAAGTTTGCAAGCTGAAGTCCACAAATCTTAAAGGTGCTGAGCTTGAGAACCGGCGTTATAGACTTTTCTTTCCATTGGAAATGTGCACGCTTCCCTGTCACAGAAATGTCACAAGGAAGCATCAACCACATCTTGGAAATGCATGTCCTGTTTTAACGATGGCTTTTTCCATCTACCTAGAACAGGGCTGTCAAACTCAAGGCCCGGGGGCCAGATGGGCCCGTAAAGTGCTTAGATCTGGACCGTGGGGCCACCCTTGAAACAGCGAAGGATCGGCCTGCAATGCCTCTGCCAGCGAAAACAGGCTCCCGAGCTCCATTTTTGGCCAGATGGTCTCCTGCAATCCTTGAAAACAGGGTGTTTTCGGAGGCTACCACAACCGAAAATGGAGCTCAGGAGCCCATTTTCGTTTGCATAGTACTCAGGCCACCACAGGCACCTCCGACAAGAGTTGGAGCTGGCCATGCCCACCCACCCCCCAAGGTCAAACACAACCCTGACGCGGCCCTCAAGGAAATCGAGCTTGATAACCCTGACTTAGAAGATAAAAATTGCACTGTAGTCTTCTTTTGATGTATCATTTAAAAAGTCCCGACAAAATGAATCGGGCAGGGAAGAAGATAAAGAAGATGGAATACAGGTCAGTTTTTACAAGCCACAGTGCTTAGTGAAGATGATTGTTTATGAAAACCGACTTGCCATGAGTTGCATGCAGTTCTTCCATGTGACAGCAGGTGGCGCCAACAACCCACAAACTTCAGATCAGTTGATTCACACATATACCCTGAAGCTATAACTGTGCAGCTAAGCCTTAATAAATCTCAGACTAAGGCTGCCTCAGTCTCAGGTTAAGAGGACATGTTGTGGTCCAAGGGTTACCTTTAGCTAGTAGTCTTAAGGAAAATTCACTTGCGTTTCATTCTGTTGTAGTTATTACACATCCCCTTAGGTCTTCGGAAGTGGGCAAACCAACAGTATAGTAAACCGTATTTCCACACCACACTTTTCAGTCCAGTACAAAACCAAGATAACAGCGCTCAGTGATGTCATGCTGGCCAGATGACTGTGGAAATGTCTTCAGACAGCGCTGGCTCAATGAGCTTGAAACAGATACGAGCACCACCCCCTAGAGTAAGTAATGACTAGTGGAGTAAAATCCACAGGGACTCCTCTTTAACTTTAACTTTACAAAACCAAGAATTTTAAATCACTTTCAGCAAAACCTTCTATTAGCATTAGTTAAACCTACAAGTACTTATCTGTATTATTCCCCTATCTCATCAGAGTTCTATTCACATGCAAAAAAAAATCAAAGGACATATTTCCACCATGTCTTAAAGAAGGGGGAAGAAAGAACTCCATTGGCAACCAATTTGAGTGGGTATAGTAGTTTGATTGAGTGAGTCTATACTAGTGTCCTTTAAACTTGGCAGTCTGAAGATATGTGGCCTTCCAATCCCAGAATTCCCCAGCCAGTCATGCTGGCTGGGGGATTCTGGGAGCTGAAGTCCTTACATCTTCAAGAGGCGAAGTTTGAAAAACACTGATGTAGACCTTGCTCAATAGCCTGCCAAGGGGGGAGCTTACAAAAACCGAACACTTTCCTCATTTTGCTGAATCCAGACATTTGATACAGATGGAGGTCCTAAACTGTTTGCACGGACACCCTGAATTTTGCATGTTACCCCAAATTGGTTAATGGGGCTAACACTGGATCAGTTTCAGAATAATCAGGATTTTATCTTGAAACACTCATTGATAAAATGCCAATCCCAGCTTCTCCTCTGAGATTTCCGCGCACTGTTGCTTGTTCTAGATTTACCGTATATGCCGGCGTATAAGACGACCCGGCGTATAAGACGACCCCCCAACATTTCCACTCAAAATATAGTTTGTTATATACTCGC